TGAAGTTCATTTTTCTAGTTTTTGTGTATGTGTAAAATTCTTAAAGAAAAAAAACAAAAAATTCCTAATTATCAATTCTAAGTAACATAAGTCTTTCTGAGACTAGTGAGCATCTATATTCTTTCTAGAGTATAACCTTGGTGACAAGGGCTCCATTTGTTAATTACATGTATAGTACCAGAGATTAATAGTGACTGCCATATAGTTACCACGAAGATTACCACGGCTCTTCAAGCATAAGATTCCTTGGATTATGAATGTACCTTAATCTTACGTAACATTAAGAAAAAGTATTCTAAAATTTTAGAACTTTTCTGATAGTAGAGATACTAGAATGTGAATAAAAGTTCACTGGTTTCTGTGGAATGAATTCTGAAGGCTTACAAAGCCAAGGTTATGGTTGCTGTCTTCACATATGTTCAAGACCAGAGCTGGAGTATAGCTCTGAGGCTGCCAATTCTAGTACCAGGCCTTCATCAGCACACTGAACGTCTACATCCCAGCTTATAGTGTGTTTCTACAAACCTTAATGGAAAACAATAACTTGCTTCACAGGTCTGTCTATTCAAGGACACCCTGATATTTTTCATCCCTCAGGGACCCCACAATTTAAATACTGTGGTAGTAAATGAAATTCATCTGTTTTCACCTTTTATTGATTAAACCGTACTGTTTGGACTGAGGTGATATAAATCTAGCTCAAATGAAAGAAACTTCCCTTTATCCGGGTCACATGGACTCACTCCAGGGAAGTAAGCATTTCCAACACGAAACTTTTAAAATTTAATTAGCATACAAAGTATTAGGTTTCATTATGGCATTTTTAAAAAATGAAACTTTTTGTTCCTTTTCCTCCCCTATTCTTGTACATTTCCCTGACACCCTTGGACCCTTCCACTCCCAGTAGAGAGCTTTCCACCTCATGCCACCTCATGCTGTCCTCAACACCTTTGTCTTAGCTGCTTCCTCGGAGTTCAGGGCCTACTGACACCAGGATGTGAGCACTGCAAGGCTTTTGGACATTATGTGTTAGGTCACTTGCTATACAGCTCTTCCAAGTAAAGTGTTTACAATGTTCATCTCTGGTGAATGGACAGAATGTGGGCTCCTATTCAGTTTTCATCTGATAGCAAAGAGATCCAACGGGTTTCTCTGGGTTAAACTGGAACAAGGCAGGTCATCCAACCTCGTGATGTGCCTCAACTTAGAGATGAGTACAGAGGACAAGTCACTCATCTTTGCTTCCTGAGCAGAGTACAATGGCTGGCCCCAAGAAGTTGTTAGAACTTATCAATTTGGAAATGACCCAGGTCACGGTCCTCAGAATGGTCACCATATCTACTTTGTCCCTGACTCAAATTTTCTTATAGGTACGAAAATTAAAATGCCAGGCAATATGACTCCAAAAGCCAAGCATGGAAAAAACAAAAACAAAAACAAAAACACACCAAATTCACCCAGAAGGCTGGTAATGCTTGACAGCTCCTTGTGCTGGTGGCTGTCTATGTTCCTAACACACATAGAATGACAAATCTACAAGCAAAATGTTTACCAAATTCCCAAGACATACTAAATGTCTTAAATGAAACATGCACACAAAATCTCAAACACTAAATAATTGAGGGGAAAAGAAGGCTGTGATGAATGGGGTTGGAATTTCTTACTCTGTCCCTTTAAAACTCCTAAGACCTCTCCTTATCCCTAAACTTAGAATCTTCACAACACATTAACTGTACATGCTAATGTACATGTTAAACAAACAGGCAGAAAAATAAAGTTATTAGATATAAATATGCAATTATGTTCTTCTGACCAATTAAGAAAACCCGCCACTTGATGGCTTCGCAGATCCCTGTAGCATCCAGGGAACAGGGACTTTGGGCACCCTTCTGTTGGGCAGTGGTTTAGAGCAGTTTGGTCTGTTGAGGCTCACAGTGGAATGCCCTTCCAAAAAGCATGGGATTATTACGATAATTATTATCCTGTTCCAGCAATGACTGTACTGGACTTGTCCTTTCCTCCTTGCAAGCAAAGGGGTGGTGTTGTCTATAGGCTTTTCGAGCTTTCTCTTTCAGAGAAAAGCCCCAAGAGTGAAGTTACAGGTACCAGAGGAGGGAGAAGGGAGCAGGTAAGCATCTACACAGATAAGGTTTCAAGAAACCCTCAGCTCTAACACAGGCTGCCTAAAAGCATATTCTAGAGGGGGAGCCAACACTTGTTTTCCAGAATATTACATATTAGAAAGAAATATCCGGTACTGTAAACACAGGTTTATTTACATCTCCTTTCTAAGCTTACCTTTGAAGGCAGATGTCACTGCTGCCAGCAAGGACAGAGAAAATTCTCTGAATGTACCCTAGTGTAAATACTCACCCATGGCAAAGTATAACTATTCAACTTCAGCATCCTTCATGTGAAAACTCCAAATGTAAACTGGTCCCAAATCAAAAGTTTATGGACACAAACAGGATGCTATAAGTGAAAAATCCCACATCTGAAGTGACTAAGCCCTAATCAAAATGGAGGCACACTGAAACTATGTCATAAAAAGAGCCTTGGACATGTGGGCGGGGACAGAATGAAACACAAATGAGCTTTGTTGTTAGACCTGGATTGCACCTGTAGAGCTCAGTGTTAGAGGCTTTTTGATCCTGATATTTCAAACTGTAAAACTCTGTTTCTAATTGTGGTAGGCTTTGATTGTAGTGCTGTTTACTGTAGACAAGTACTTGCGGTGTGGCCCAGCCCTACCACACACCTTTAATCCAACAGTTAAATAAAATTAACCCTCTGTCATGAGAAGCAAGCAGTTGATAGGAAATAAACATAGGAAAAAAAAAAAAAAACATAGAGAGTAGAGGAAGTCCAGAGGACAGACAGAGAGATGCACAAAAAGTATAAGGAGGGACATGGAGTTAAAAGGTATTTAAGACAGTATGGAGAAGGGGAAAGAGGCCTTTTCCTTCTGGGATGTAAGCTGAGAAGGAAGGGCTTTTTCCTTCTGGGATGTCAGTTGGATAGACTGTCAGCTGGGTGCTTTCTCTGCCTAAGACAGCAGGTTTCAACCTACCATCAGGCTCCTTCATTGGTAAAGATCAAAGTCCTGGGATTTTCTTTCGTTATAACAGCAGTCCAGGCGCACAGTTCAGTGCTAGAGCAAACACAATGCCCTGAGTTCCAACCTCTGTAGCGGGGATCGAATAGGTCCTGAGTCCCGACCTCTGTGGTGGGGATCGAATAGGTCCTCTTTATAAGGAGTGGAGAAAAGTGAAATACTTACAACCTCAAAATGACAAGAGCAAACCTTTATTGCTTTGCTGGTGCTTCCAAATTCTGTGACTTGGTATTGGAGGGTGCAGAACATGGCACACACAGTGTGAGAACAGTTTTTGTAGTGCTTAGGGAGGGGGAGGGCATGGCTTTGTTAGACCTGGAAACTGTTTTATGAAACTGCAGGGTGGGAGAAAAGTCAGACTGCCTGTTTTTGTGACTTCCAGGCTCCAGAGCATGAGCGGAGGTTGGTTGCTTTCTGGAATTCCATGGGCGTTATATTTCTTGAAGCCATGGGCTTATTTTATGGCCCTGAATTTGGGGTGGGAATCCTTTAGCCTTTTATAATGAACTAGAGGTAGAAGTGGCATCACATATGCTGGCCACTGGGCATCTACTAGCTCACTAGAAGAACGGGCTATACAGTGTAGGACAACTAGTGGACAGAAAAATACTCAACTGCTGGTTTTATGCTTATGCCCCAGTAGGTGCTTCTAGTTTATTTACTAGCTCAGTGAGGTAAGGGAGTTTGAGACACATTTAAAATATTAACTAGGATACAGCTACTATTTAAACCAAATTTTCCTGATTTAATGCCTTATCTGTTACTGTATACTGCTTTTTTAAGTGGGTGAGTTAGACAGAAATGAAAATGATCTTTATTAAAAACTCAAGATTTCTAAATTTGGTAAATTAAAGGAGGAAGGAGTAAACAACATGAAATAAAACAACAAATGTCACCTGAAAGGATACAAATGTGCTGTTAAAGAGAGTGAATGTGAACGCTAATTACACCCCCTTCATGCAGAGGCTCCTCAAAGACAAAGTAATAGTGTTCTCTGTGTGATCCTTCCTTAGTCTGCTCAGCTTCATTAACCTGTGCTCATCAGGGCGCACTGATAGACACTCATCAGGCTTCATTCTTGGCATCTACACAAGAGGCAGCTAGTAGATGGCCACATCACTAAGCCTGCACAGCACGAAGAGCTGGGTCTAAGCTTTTGTGCTCTGGAATATCAGGCGAGGGAGTCTTTTAGCCTAGATCTATAGTTTTTGTTAGAATCATGCTTCACCATTTGACTGCCTAAGACAGAAAGGTGTGGGAATGGAAAAAGGAAATGAAATACATCCATAAATCCCCCAGCAAAGCATAGAACAGTTGGAAGGGAAAGAGATTTTAGTATCAGTGGGGATAAGGCCTGACACCTCTAATTTTGGGATCTGATCAAAAAAGTCTAAGTGGCTGCAGTGAAGAAGCTTCATCAATGACAAGTGGTGGCCTTCATGTCAAAGCCCACTATTGTCCCGATGTCTATACAAAAGGGAAGAGCTAAGACTCTGATCCAGGCCCTGTTTTCCTCCCAATGATGGCCAAGGAGCTTAGACTGTCTAACAAACGCTTCTTCATAATAGGATGACTTTTATTGGGTTTTCCTGACAGCTAGACTGCAAACCAGACTACTTTGGAAATTTGAAAAAGTATTTTGTGATTAAATTCTAATCAGTTAATTTAAGATTGACTTTGGTTTCCGGATTAACCTCAAAGACATCAATTACCATTTACCTTGTTGATAGCTTTAAAAATACAAATGTGAATAACAGATTTTAAACAGAGCTCTGATAAAGGCCAAACCTAATTATTCCCCTACCTCAGTTGGATTCTATGTGCTCCTGCAGAACAATTAAAAAGCATGTTTATATGTATAAATAAAATATAAATGATATGGGAGTTTCTGACAAATGATTTATTAAAGAAAATTTATTAGCTCTAAGATTTGTTGCCAGAGAAACTTCAGTATGTACAAATCAGTGTGAAGTTTCCAGTCCCCAATCTTTGGTGACATGAATATGCCTTAAACATCACAGAACAAACATTGATCCTAACTGCAAAAGGAAAACAAGTCTCAAGAAACAAACAAAAACCCCAACTCTCTTAAACCTGGTTTCTTTATACCATATAAAGAAAATCCTTTTATTCTACATTTTCTAAAATAATGCCAACAGAAATGGATCTGGAGAAAAGGATGAAAAAAAAACCGTTGCTTATAGAAATGATGTTTCAAAGAGTAACTGAAAATCAATTTGTCTTAAATAGAAAATAGTTTTAGTCTAAGACACTGGCATTAAGTAACATAAGAAAAACTTCAACTTTTAAATTTTCAAAATTCAAAGTGTAGAGAAGGCAAGCCTAACAAGGGCTGGGAGTGACAGGCTCACGGGACATCTGTAGCAAAACCCCACTTCAGAGTTCTGGATGTTGCCTTCCTCCAGGCTCATTGGCATCTGGATGAGTCACTGACAGGAAGAAAGAGACCTAAAAGCTGAGTGTAACCTTTCATGGGGTTTCCCAAGAAATCTGACTGGCAAAATAAAGAAGAGGAAAAAAAAAAAAAAAAAAAAAATCAAAGAATAAAGACTGAAGGAGAAGAAAAGTGGAAGAAATCATGCCCATGTCAATCAGGATGAAAGGAGCTCAGATGTACAAATGACAGCTGCATATATAGAAGAGACTGCATCTTGATTACAAATGTGGATTATATACACATTTATATCTGATTAAGTGAGTTCATAGGTCACACCCCACAGTTCAAGGAGGATGTCTCTCAGAGGTGAGAGGAAGTCCTAGTCACTTGGTTCCTCAGGTCCCTGTCTTTTGTCCTGGCTGGTCGTTGGTCTGTGCACTTGACTCCACAGCATGGTATATGAATGGATAAAGCTTGATGTCTGGGCCAGGGGTGGAACAGTTTCTGCATTCTTCATTGTAGTATCGTAGCAACAACTTAAATACTTTTCCTAGAGAGTAAAAGGCCAGAACAATTTGTACATTAAGTTATGTTGATGAAAAAAAAAAACTTCAAAACAAAAACCAAACCTGTTATTTTAATTTAAATAGTGTTAAGCACAGATTGGGCTTCTGAAAGCACAGTATGAGTTTCTAATGGCTAGGCTTTCCTGACATAAACTTCAACACTTTTATGTAGGCTATGATTACAGTCGGCCGTCCATGATCCACTGTCCATGTCTTCTCCATTGAGTTCGCTGCAACCAGGCTGCACACCCAGTTCCCAGGGGAGCAACAGACTTGACGAGCACACTGCATTCTCATGAATTTCAGACTGAATGCTTGAGGGCTGTCAGGTTTGCATTTATCGCCTTCTCCCCTCCTCTCACATGTGTTTGAGATGTACACTCTGCATACCCTCACACTCTCTTTATATTTCCATATAAAGAAAAGTAAAAATGGTTATTAATTCCAGCTCCTTACTTTTCCCTTTTTTTTTTTTTTTTTTTTTTTTTTTTTTGTAATTTTTGAGGCAGGCTCACTACTATCCCAGGCTAGCCTTGGACTGATGACCCTCCCAACTGGCTGGGATTATTTGTACATACCACCATGCCTAGCCAGAGACCTCACTCTAAGATGACAAACTTAAGTCAATATCATGACTGAAACTCTGCCAGAAAACAAAAACCAGATCTGTAAAAGCTGCCTGCTTACGTGCTCTGTCACTCCCCTGGCCCAGCTAAGCCTTTCTTACTATGATCCATTGGGACTTAGTGCTCCTCCTGGATGGTACACATCCATCTAGATACCAAGTGTCAAGACGATCCCCTACTCACCAACATTCAGTTTCCTCTCAGTAAGGAAAGTGTGCATGCTGTAAATGTCTCTCATCAATTCTGAGTCCCCAAAGGTGAAATAAACCACATCGCGTTCAGCTGCAGCAGCTGCCAGTATCTGTATTAAGGCTGCAACAAAGAGAACAAGCAGTTATATCAGGGCAAGCCCTACCAATACACCGTTAGCTCTCCCAACCAGCTACAGCAGCTGGTATGCCACAGCTTTCTCCTAGACCAAGGATTTACAAATCCAAATCATAAGTGATTAGGTATGGTGAACACAAGATGACATAAATTATCTAGTTTATGGCATGTCAGGGGTGCTCTGGAGAATAACATTCAACTGCAGCAGTCTTTCACAGTCACCTTCTCTGGACCACACAAAAAAGAAAGTTCGCTTGAAGCAGCAAAACAAGGCATAAAGGTAGTATACATAATTACTTTTATTAATCTTCAATTATTTTTATGTTTGCTTGATTTATTAATTGTTGTCTTATTACATACTCACTGGGCTTGTGTACCACAGCCCTGTTTGGAACTTCTGATGTTATCTATCACTGACTTGAACAAGCATTCCCCACATAAGCAGTTAAGCACATCTGCACCCCTCTGGCTCACACCTATCTGTCCCTGCCACATGGAGTCAGCATTACTGAAGATGCCAAGTGAGTAACTCCCTGGTATACTAGAACAAAAAACAAAAAACAAAAAACAACCAAGAACCACTGTCTCCAATCAAAGCTACTAATTTCTGAACCTGAAGTGCGTTTCTAGAAATTAAGTTTCTTTTCAACCCCTATCTCAACCAATAAATTTATTTTGAATATGAGCAAAGCTGAACTTGGAAACAACAAACACCCTTATGCTAGTTATGTAGGTTTTAGTTCGTAAAAGAGAAGGTGGGAATACAATTGAAACATTATGAAGGATATCTTTCTATAGTTATGATTTTTTTAAGCGTACATGAGTATTTTACATATTCACGCAAATACAATTCCAAGCATTAATGTATGGGTGCTACCTCTAGAGAAAGTTCTGTTTTGTAGTGTCTTCTCATGATCCATTAAAGGCTAAGGAAGAGGGCCAGACCTCGGTAAGTATACATTGGAGTCACTGGACAGCACCTTCACTGGGTGATCAGAATGAAGACCATCAATGGCGTCCAGTGCTCTCAAGCGCCTCCAGACAGTCCCACTGCTGCAGTCCCAGACTCAATAAACACTGTCTACTTCAAGCCTGTCAGTGTTGTAAAACACTTTGGAAATACTCCAGACTCAAATACGTTAAGACACATAAGAAATGGTACATCTGGTCCTGGACGCTAGCTGGAGAGAAAAGGCTAGATTTATTATCTATGAGGTCATCTGGCATAATGGGGACACAGAAGAAAGGAAAGAGAAACAACCAAGCAGGTTCAGGCTGGCCTTGAACTCACAATCTTCCTGCCTCAGTGACTTTCTTGAATACTGGGATTAGAAGAGTATACTACCATGCCTATCTATTATTATTTTTGATAATGCATGCAATATTCTAAAATACTATCAAAGTCCCGTCTTGCTGTTTAAACCATATTTACTGAGTATCTACAATTTGGGAGAAACCATGACTAGGTCTCATTAATCTTAGAAGGTTGAAAGTAATTAATTTCAAAACAAAGGTAAGTTTTAATTAAAATTGCTCAACCAACTTATGCATACATTAAAGCTTCAGAATACCTAGTTTAAAAAGGTTCCTAATTAACCTTAAAGTGCATTTAAAAACAGAAACTAATGAATTGTCATTTTCCTCTACCAAAACATATCATATTCTACTTTTTAGAGAGAATGAAAAGTTGGCTCTAAATGCTAAGAAAGGCCTCGTCAGTTGCTCTTGTTTCACACAAGGCTTACTTCTGGTGACTGCACTGCACAGGCATATGCTGGACCAGTGAGTATACAGAGGCAGGGATCAAGTCAGTCCCAGCCTCTGCTAGCTACATCCAGCCACTTGCTTAGCTCAACTGGTCTTATTTTCTCTCAATTATACAACAGAACTGAACCAGATGATCCTTAGAAACTCTGTTACGATTCCATAATCATTGTTAGAATTTTTCTACTTGTATCAGATGTTAAGACTGTAACTACTGTAAATGAAATTTATAGGAAAATAAACTAATCTTGACTTTAAATACATCATTAAGTCATTGACAAAGTATTTTATTTTCATTTTATGTGCATTGGTGTTTTGCCTACATGTATATCTGTGTGAGGGTGTTGGATCCCCTGGAACTAAGGTTACAGACAGCAGTGAACTGCCATGTGGGTGCTGGGGTTTGAACCCAGGTCCCTTGAAAGACTAGCTAGTGCTCTTAACCACTAAGCCATCTCTCCAGTATTTTAAATGACAATATCTATAGCACCCACTATCTATGACATTTCCAAGGGTCTTTGCAAACCTATAGAATGAAGCTTCATGTTGTAAGTGAACTCTCGCAACATAAGTCAGATGAGAATAAATGTAATGGGCTACATGGACAGACGCCAAGTCTGATATAAAAGCATACAATTCTAGCTCAGACATACACAGGTGCCAAAATAATCACTTCAATTAACCTGTAGGGAGCTTGGTTTTAATTTTCTTTTTGGCAACCATGTTACACCATAAAGAAAACAAACAAATATGAATAACCTGAAAACACAATTTACTGTGCCCTGTTACAGAAAATGGGCCAAGCAAATATGGGTAAGATGGCACTGGGTGTGGTGGCACATGCTGTTAACCTTAGCACTAGGGAGAACCTGATGTGTCTCTGTAGGTTCAAGACCAGCCTGGTCTACATATCGAATTCCTAGAGAGCCAGTGCTACACAGAGACCCTGTCTCACCAAAATGGGGGTCAGATAATAAAATCTCATACCACAGGTGGTGCTTGAGGCCACTAACATGTAATATTAGTAGTACCGCTATTACAGAGCTTGAACTCTAAGGATAAGCTCATTTAATTTTACAACAGCAGAACAAGATAATTAACATTATTGCCATTTTGAGAAGGGTTAAGTAATAGTCCAAGGATACCTAGTAAGAATGCAGTCGAGCTGAGATTTGAACCTTCTCTTCTGACTCAAAAGCCCCACGCTCTTACCCATTTCATTGCTTCTAAGCTGCAACGCAAAATAATTCTGCATAAGGCCAGGCAGACTTTATCACAGGACAGACACCAGGTTTCCTTAAGTTGTTTATTCACATTATTTGAGTGTATTCTGGCAAGAAGGCTCAAACAGGATTGATGTGAAAGCACTGCCCATGCCTTCTGGCGAACTCAGTCTTCTAAGTGCTCACATACCCTTGGTTGCTCTGGCAGTCTCCAGCTCTGCTTGTAAATCCCAAGGTACACAGATGGTGTTTGTACCAAAAAGTACTCTCCTAGGTCAACTCTTTAGTATTAGCGAGCATTCTGTCCCCGTCTTCCACCTTGCTAGTCTATTATTTATCTGTTTTAAATAGTCTTTCTTCAAGCCCACCACTCCACCTGCAATGTTGTATGACTTCCTCACTGCTGTAATAAAATACCTAACAAAGCCAAGGACACAAAGGTTTCTTTGGCTTAAGTTTGAGAGTACAGTAGCCCATCACAGTAGGAAAGCTGTGGCAGCTAAAGCATGGAGCAGCTGCTCACGTTGGTCCCTCAGTCAAGAAGCAGAAAGAGATGAATGCTGGTGCTCAGTTGCTTTCCTTTTTATTCAGTCCAGTACTCAGACCATTGGACAGTACTGTCCATATTTAGGGTGAGTCTTCCCATTTTAACCTAAACTAGAAACCCCATCACAGACATGCCCAGGTTTGTTTTCATGGTAAGCCTGGAGCCCATCAAGTTGACAATACTGATTAACCATCACTCGTGTTGGCTTTCATATCTAGACTCAGATCCAATGCAGTGCACTCACTGGCCTCAAACCTGGTTTGAATCTGGAACTGGCAAATTGATAGCTGTATGATCTCGGGCTGGGTACCCACTCTCTATGCCTCAGTATGTCACCTAGAAAAACAAAAAGAACTTCCTACTAGGTTACTGTGTGCTTATACAACAAGTAACTTTAACTTGATGCCATACCTGATGGCGCTTTAGGACCATCTCCTAGAACCAGAACACATTGAACGTATTCTTAGCTCACAATAGGAAATATAATGGTAATGAGCATCTACTACTTTTGGAGGAAGACAGGCCAACTTCAGTTCTGACACCTACATGCTGTATTCCTTTGTGAGTCTGTAAACCTCGGCTTCCCAGTCTCACCAAACAAACAAAGAGTAGCTACACAAATAAAAATAGAAAATGCAATGATTCTGACACCTGATTGATCAGCATCAAGTTGCAGACTATGAAACAAAGTGTGTAAGCCATTTCCCAGACCCAGAAATTCAGCAGCATCTTGTGGGTACTGACAACAAACACTCCTTACATCCTTGACTTTACAGCATCATACAAAACACAGGGCCACAAAAAGAAAAATGCAGAATTGTTCTGTGTATTCTTACTCAGGGGAAACTGAGAAAGGGAAGTGTGGTCTGCTCCCATTGAGGAAGCAAAGTATCAAAAACCTGAGGTGACTTGTCCATCTATTTTCAGGGGTTCACCTCCCGATGCTTACAACCAGAATTTAAAGGGTGACCAGGTCAAGTCAACCACAGCATGGGAGAAAATGACTCTCTGCACTACCCCATTACCATTCCTGATTAATGATTTTTCTGCAGGTTTTTTTTTCCCTCCTTTTGTTTATGAGACAATGTCTCCTATGTAGCCTTGGTTTGCTGATTCACATGTCACAGCTGCTAGAATACTGGGATATATAAGATGGGATATATAGAATATATAAGATGTATATATCCCTTCATGCCTGGCTTGAGATTGGCCATCTTGATTCTAAAATAGCAAAGAAATTAGGAAAGACATTATTTAGGTTTGATTTAAACGGACATAACGATGGCCAAATAGAAAATAAATGTAGATCAAGTTTCTGTATCTCATCAGCCCTTCACTTAATATGTCAAGCAACCCAACAGAAACCTCAAGATATATACCTAACATTTAGTGGCTATATTCATTTGGTCTCATGCATGGAAGAGCATCCATATTGGTCTAACTAGAGTATT